GTAGAGATGAGGTCTCGCTTGCCCAGGTGGGTCTCGAACCCGTGGGCTCAGGCAATCCACTCACCTCAGCCTCCCAAAGGCGCGGGATTACAGGCTGAGCCACCGATCCCAGCTTATCCTTCCCTTTTTAAAAGACAAATGTTAGCACTATATATGTATATGCGCATAAACATATCTAAAATATGTGTATATGTGTGTGTATATATATAACTTACACTTATGATTTATATCTTTTATTTTAAAATATATATTAAGTATTGGTGTGTCCTTTTAGAAGGCTGTTTTGGTAGTTTTCAGCTACTTGGTTTAAGTGGTAACATCTTTATTCTCCCTTTCTGCCTTAAAAATCCAGTTTAAGAATTAGTGTGGACCAGATGCAATGGCTCAAGTCTATTATCCCAGCATTTTGGGAGACTGAGGTGAGAGGATTGCCTGAGTTCACAGGTTCGAGACCAACCTGGGTAATTTGGCAAGACCTCATCTCTACAATAAATTAAAAACTTAGCTGGGTGCAGTGGCGCATGCCTGTCGTTCCATCTATTTGGGAGGCTGAGGCAGAAGGAACGCCTGAGCCTAGCAGAGTGAGACTTCGACTCAAAAAAAGAAGTAGTGTGACCATTTATACTCCTGGTTTAAGTCCTGATCATTTAATAAATGATTTACAAGTAATTTTAGTTAACAGTAGAGAGAATATTCTGGAACAAGAAATGACAGAGACTGCCATGGAAGGAGAAAGAACAAGAAAAGTGAAATGGTGAAATTGGATCCATAGCTTGGGGTCAAAGATGGGGCTGGGAATGCTACATTATCCTGGTGGTCTTTATTTTAGGATTTTCTAGGTGTGTGTTCTTATTTGCATGCTAGGCAATGCCTACACATTTAGGGGTGTTGTCATTCTGTAGCATATTCTTTTCTTTTCATTTTTATTTGGCATCAATTGCAGTAGTAGGGAGCAAGGAGTGGCACAGTTTGGTTAAGAGGTGGGGCTTCAGTGCTGGAAAGGTGTGGCAGCTTTAGGTTACGAACCTTTGTATCTTATGTTGGTTTTCTTCATTGTTAGATAGATAAGGATATCTTTTGCTTTGTAGCAAATCACCCCACTTTAGTGACTTGAAATAACAATTGGTCTCTCTGGTGGTTCTTTTTTTTTTTTGAGTCAGGGTCTCACTCTGTTACCCAGGCTGGAGTGCAGTGGCAGGTTCATGGCTACCACGGCCTCAACTTCCTGGGCTCAGGTGATCCTTCCACCTCAACTTTCCAAGCAGCTGGAACTACAGGCACATGCCACCATACTCAGCTAATTTTTTGGTTTGTTGTAGAGACCAGGTCTCACCGAGTTGCCCAGGCTGGTCTTGAACCCTGGCCCCAGGAAATCCTCTCACCTTGGCCTCCCAAAGGACAGGGATTACAGGCGTGAGCTCCCATGCCTGGCTGTGAATAATTTTATGTTCTAAGATGTTTTCACAATGTTTAATAACTTAGGTCATAATTTTCCTCACCACACCAGCTAATTAATTGGGTACAGCCCTCTTCACTGAAGGTTCTTGACCTTGTTTTAGCAATTTGGTTTGAACTACTTAATCTCTTGAAGGGAATGGAAATTAGAAAAAAGGAGAATTCCTCTTCCTTTTTTTCCCCCTTCCAACTCTAGTAGTGCTCAGCAATTAACCTCCCACAATTCTTGTCATCTCTCTGCTGGGGAAGCCGCTGTGTCACCTG